TACTGGTGGTGCTGCTAGAAGATGTGCTGCTTGAGGAGGTGGACGTGGACGTGGTACTTGTGGAGGTAGTGCTGCTTGAAGAGCTTGTCGTAGAAGAGGTGCTCGTGCTGCTGGAGGAAGTGCTTGTGGAAGTGGTGCTGGTCGACGACGTGCTGGTCGACGAACTTGTAGTGGAGGACGTGCTTGTGCTGCTGGAAGTTGTGCTTGTAGATGTGCTGCTTGTTGATGAAGTGCTAGTTGTCGAACTAGTCGTGGAAGTGCTACTGGTGCTGCTGGAAGACGTGCTTGTAGATGATGTACTGGAGGACGATGTGCTACTTGAGCTCGTGCTGGTGGAAGTGCTGCTAGTAGATGAGGTGCTTGTTGAAGTACTGCTAGTACTTGTGGATGATGTGCTTGTGGACGATGTGCTTGTAGATGAAGTGCTTGTGGACGTCGTACTGGTTGAGGTTGTGCTGCTTGTGGAACTGCTGGTGGATGTGCTGCTGGTGCTGCTTGAAGATGTGCTGGTGGAAGACGTACTGGTCGATGATGTGCTTGTGGACGACGTGCTTGTGGACGTCGTGCTGCTGGAGGAGCTGGTGGTTGAAGAGGTGGTGGTACTGCTCGAAGATGTGCTTGAAGAAGTGGTACTAGTGGATGACGTGCTGGTTGATGAAGTGCTGGTTGATGAAGTGCTCGTTGAAGAGCTGCTTGTGGATGATGTTGTCGTGCTGCTGGAGGAACTCGTTGTGGAAGTGGAGCTTGTTGAAGACGTGCTAGTCGAGCTTGTGGTGGTTGAGGATGTACTGCTGGAGGAACTGGTTGTGGAGGTGCTACTGGTGCTACTGGAAGATGTGCTTGTAGAAGACGTGCTGGTGGATGAACTGCTGGTGGAAGTGCTGCTGGTGCTGGTTGAGGATGATGTGGATGACGAGGTGCTCGTTGAGGAAGAGCTGGTCGTCGACGTGCTTGTGGAGGAGGAGCTGGTAGTCGTGGTGCTACTGGAGGAGGTGCTGGTAGAAGAGCTCGTTGTTGACGTGGTGCTCGTGCTGCTCGAGGATGTGCTCGTGGACGAAGTACTTGTGGAAGAAGTGCTTGTGGAGGACGTGCTTGTGGACGAGGTGCTGGTAGAGGATGAGCTCGTCGATGACGTGCTAGTGGACGTTGTGCTAGTGGAGGTCTTGGTGGTGGATGTTGTCGTGCTGCTGCTGGAAGTCGAGCTAGATGAAGTTGTACTAGTTGAAGATGTGCTGGTCGATGTTGTGCTAGTGGAGGTTTTGGTTGTTGAAGTTGAAGATGTACTGGATGAGGTAGATGTGGTGGAAGACGTGCTTGACGAAGATGTGCTGGTGGAGGTCGTGCTTGTGGAAGTACTGCTAGTACTCGAGCTACTTGTTGAAGTTGAGCTTGTGCTTGTGGACGATGTGCTTGTAGATGAAGTGCTTGTGGACGTTGTACTGGTTGAGGTTGTGCTGCTTGTGGAACTGCTGGTGGATGTGCTGCTGGTACTGCTTGAAGATGTGCTGGTGGAAGAGGTACTCGTCGATGACGTGCTTGTGGACGACGTACTTGTGGACGTCGTGCTGCTGGAGGAGCTAGTGGTTGAAGAGGTGGTGGTACTGCTCGAAGATGTGCTTGAAGAAGTGGTACTAGTGGATGACGTGCTGGTTGATGAAGTGCTGGTTGAAGAGCTGCTTGTAGAGGAGGTACTGGTAGATGTTGCTGTCGTCGAAGTTGTGCTGCTTGAAGTCGTACTGGTCGAAGTCACACTGGTTGAGGTGCTGCTTGTGGAAGAACTGCTGGTGCTGCTGGATGTCGTGCTCGTGGAAGATGTGGTGGAAGATGATGTGCTCGTGGACGAGCTTGTTGTGGAAGAAGTGCTGGTGCTACTGGAAGATGTACTCGTGGAAGTGGTGCTGGTCGACGATGTGCTACTTGAGGTTGTACTGGTTGATGAACTTGTGGTGGATGAGGTGCTCGTACTGCTAGAAGATGTGCTGGTGGATGTGCTACTCGTTGATGATGTGCTTGTAGTCGAGGTGCTGGAAGAAGTCGTGCTGCTGGATGTGCTGCTTGTTGAAGTTGCAGTAGTGCTACTGGAAGAGGTGCTTGTGGATGTGGTGCTACTGGATGTAGTGCTTGTTGAGGATGTGCTGGTGGAAGTAGAGCTTGAGGAGGAGCTAGTTGTGGAACTCGTGCTAGAGCTGCTGGAAGAAGTGGTTGTTGACGTTGTGCTTGTAGAAGAGGTGCTTGTTGAACTCGTGCTGGTGGAGGTGCTAGTAGAGGAAGAGCTGCTGCTTGAAGTCGTACTGCTTGTAGAACTTGTAGTGGATGTACTACTGGTGCTGCTGGACGTGGTGCTTGTGGATGACGTGCTTGTGGACGACGTGCTTGTGGACGTCGTGCTGCTGGAGGAGCTAGTGGTTGAAGAGGTAGTGGTGCTGCTGGAAGATGTGGTGGAAAATGTGGTGCTAGTTGAGGAGGTGCTGGTTGAGGAGGTGCTGGTAAAAGTTGTGCTTGTTGAGGAAGTACTGCTGGAAGAAGTGGTGCTTGTGGAGCTCGTTGTTGAAGACGTTTTGCTTGTCGAGCTCGTTGTGGAAGTGGTACTGCTTGAGGAGCTCGTTGTAGAGCTTGTGCTCGTGCTGCTTGACGATGTGCTGCTTGAGGAGGTGGACCTGGACGTGCTACTTGTGGAGGTAGTGCTGCTCGAAGACGTGGAAGACGTGCTTGTGCTGCTGGAAGTTGTGCTTGTGGAGGTGCTGCTTGTTGATGAAGTGATAGTTGTCGAACTAGTCGTGGAAGTACTGCTTGTACTGGTGGACGATGTGCTTGAAGACGACACACTGGTTGAAGTTGTGCTGCTTGTGGAACTGCTGGTGGATGAACTGATGGTGGTGGTGGAAGACGCGGTGGTCGAGGATGTGGTTGTGGACGTCGCACTGGTAGATGAACTGATGGTGGTGGTGGAAGACGCAGTGGTCGAGGATGTGATTGTGGACGTCGCGCTGGTGGTGGAAGATGCAGTGGTCGAAGATGTGATTGTGGACGTCGCACTGGTGGATGAACTAATGGTGGTGGTGGAAGACGCGGTAG